TTCTAGCACCGAAGAGTAATACCTACCACAAATATTATTATTATTAAGCTGAATTTTTGACGAATCAATAGATACTTAAATGATTACACATCCAAATATTCGATTCTTTCGAGAATTATTAGTGACCAGAGGAGTAGCGTAACCTTATTGGCTAGCTATCGAACGATCAACCACTTATGCTACACTATGCCTTAACTTAAAAGGTATAACAAAGATTATTATGGTTTGCAATAAAAATTTTTAAAAGTTTATTATGTCCCAAGTTACAATTATTTTTCCAACAAATTCAGAAAACTGTGAAATTTCTTCTATATTATGAGATTTCTGATATTGATATACATTATAACATCGTCATGAGTACATGATAGTCTCTTAAAAATAAATTTCTAGTTTCATATCAAGAGTTGTTATGGGTCGATAAAATATTTTAAAAGTTATATTGGCATAGGATTTGACTGAAATTGAAAATGAACCGTATGTCACTTTTTTAATGAGCTCTGTAAAATTTAGGGATAAAGTAATAAAAAGACAACTTATTATGTTTGATCGGTTCAGCCAATACTCGAATCAAGAAGGATAAGTTAATATATCTCTACTAGCCATAATACTGTCATTCTAAAATTGTGTATAATGGCAATTAATAATTTTCATATCATAATATATGTTTTTAAAGTTTAATTTAATTTTTTTTTTCACTGCCATTTATCACAATCTTATTAATTAGATTATTTTTGTTTTTGTTGCATGTAACTTTTATAATTTTAATTAAACTTTAATTAATTTCAATAAGTATTATTCTATTTAAAGATAAAAATCAGAAGTACATTTGGTATGAAAAGTGATTTTTTTTATGTTTCGAAAATAGCAATAAAAGTTAATTGATCATTTATAAATACATTAATAATTACGGTCTAAATATTACATTTGATGAAGAAATTATTTATTACACAGTATATAGGTTAAGTATAACTTATAGTTAACCTATAAACTATACAATATTAGTGATCATAATAAGCTCATAGTAATTATGTGTGTAGTTCAATATAATTTTAAGTGATTTGAATAATAGTCAAAATTAACTAAAACCACGTTAATTTTTCTTTGGTAGAGAACTGGAGACCCAAATTCTCGAGCAATGGTTTTCAATCCTTTACATTTTACGCACCTTTTTTTACTAAGAGTTGTATGATTAATCTTTCCTGACATATTAAACTGAACAAATAATACATTTCAAGATTAAAAATAAACATCAGCTATTATAAAACGATAACTGCCAAACTGGGTTGTTAAAAGTATAAACATTAAAAGTATAGTGTACATTTTATATGATAATAAAATACTCAACCAGCTTTTATTGAAAGATGCATACTTATGAATACTTTAAATTACTATAAATAAATTAAAATTGTTTACTATTCTTACAAAGTTCAAAATCCTTTGGAATTTTTTTTTAATGGCGTGTAACAAATGTCATTTTTTTCACCATCCAACAGAAATGTCTATGTTGTTTATTTGTAAAATAGTAAAAAATCCTGAAACACATAGATATTATAATAATGTTTTCAGAGTTTAATTTTTCAACTGTACCAAATAGCTGATTATCACAATGCAGATTATATTATACGATCATACTATTATAAATATTGGAACTCAACGGTATTTGACGCGTATCGTAAGAACAGTTGACTATTGAGAAAAAATAAATGATGTGTCCCGTGATCGTTTGATTTTCGTTCAACGCAATATTCTTGTAATTTCCTCATCATTACAGTACTGTATCATTTCCATGCAGTATACGTCCAATCTCACACCCCTCTCATCATATCCACCCGTTGAAAATACCTGCTCTAGAGCAGTGGCGCAGAAACACCAAAAAAAAAAAAAAATGTGTGACACCCATCTATCAAAAAATTAAAGGACACAGAGAATCAAATTACTTGGGTGTTATATGTACTAATCCAGCAAATAATAAAGTATCTAATTTCGATTTTTCAGTAGTAAGGTATGATTTACTAAACTTATTTGGACACAAAATTATTCTAATAATAAAAATCAAATAATTGTTAGAACAATTTTTAAAATTGTAAAATAATAAATGAATAAGCATAAATAATATTTTTTAATACATTCGAGTCGCGATAACTTGAAGTTGAAGGGGGATAAAAATTCACTTCGAGGTATGTATTATTCGAGATATCTAACTAATTTATAGGAGAAGAATTTTCTAGGAAAATAAAACACAATTCGAGTTGTCTAGTTTTTCGAGTTATCGCTACTCGACTGTATTAGGTATAAAATATAAAGGTATATAAGTATAAAATAATTTGTTTAAAATTCCGGTATTGGTTGATAAAGTTTAAACAATTTAATCGGGAAATAAAGTTGTATCTTTTTCATATAATATCAACATTACAGATTTTAACTGTTATTTTCTCATTGTAATTCCTTATTTGGATTTTGTAAGTTTTAATTTAGAAAATGCCCTTTCAGGCGATGAATTTGATACCGGCAGTGTTTGAGCAATCTATAGAGCTTCATTGACCGTAGGAAATATATCCTTCAGACTATTTAAATAAAGAACATTATGATTAATAGTGTTACGAAAATCTAAATGATTTTCATTTTCTTCTTCTTCATCTTTATTTTTATTAGTTAAATGGTGTATGATTGAACCAAAATCTTCATGAAGTTTTTTTTTGGAAGATTTGTCAATGGCTCAAATTTTAAAAATATTTTGTCGATAGATAATAGATTTTAAATTAAGCAAACTGGTGGTTTATTTCATTAATTATAATTTATTTTTAGGTTTTGTTATAAAATGAATTAATTATTTTATTTACCCACTCTTGTCTACATAAAATTCGTAATCGTTTTAATTATAGAATAATAATTGAAATTATGTGATGGAGTAATAATAAAAATAATTTAATTAAAATTAATATTATTCACAATGGATAAAAATTTATGATCGATCTTCAATCGACTGTTGGAAAACCTATTAAAATTAATCAGAAAATTAAATTCGTTGAACCAGATGATTAGATCTTGTCGATTTATACGTGTAAATTATTTCCAATTATGTATAATATTAAGTACTAAAGTGTAAACTATTATACGCTTATTCTTATTTCTTTATTAAAATTATTATTTCGAGGAAAGAAAAAATAGTAGATGTAACAACTAGAAGCATTAACTCATAAGATTAACTTATTCATTTGTAAGAAAATAAAATATTCTATTGAATCTAAGGCATAAATTGATTACAGAAAAAATAGCTAAGAATTTCATTTTTAATGTTATTTTAATTCTTTAAATTGTTTTTTTTTTAATTCATCTAGATAAAATTATTGGTTATCTTTTCTTTCTTTTTAGAGAAAATAGACTTAGATGGTTTGGGCATGTGTGATGAGTCAAGAGAAAACAAAAACAGTAAGAGTGGTTATGGAAATGAACGATGAAAGGAAAAGAGGAAGAAAAAGACCAAAAACGAGATGGTTGGGTACGATTGAGTTAGGTACGATGAGGGCTGCTGGTCTGTGCGTATGGGATGTAGAAAATCAAGACGAGTGGAAGTTCAGGACAAGGATGGCCGACCTCAAATATTTGGGAAAAAGGCGAAGGAGAAGAAGAAAAAGATTTATATCTCATTAGTCATTACTCATTTATCTTATCACACTCGTAATCTATTACTTCCCGATTATGTACTTTGCACACGCATAATATTCATACCCAACCACAACTTTAAAAACGTGTGACTACTATCACATCTATACGGTGTATTCGGGGCGCCACTGCTTCAGGTGGTGATGCGGTCCGGGAGGTGTAACAACAACAGCAACTATTACGTCGCCGGGGCATGGATACAATCAACGCGTAGTACAATCATTATACTATAGTATTTATAATCAACGGTACAATCAAGTGTACGCATAATAAATGATGACGTCGCATTCGTATTCGTTAACCAGTCGGCGACGAGCAACGGAAATCCGACACGCAAGCGCGTGACAACTTCGGCGCGGCGTCAACGACTCTCAGAGTTCGCGCAAACCACTCGTCCCTTTGCTACCGGCTCCGCGCCATCGGTGTTCTTGTAACACGGCGCATGGCCGTTGAACGCGCTCCCCGTGCCCCGTGCTATCGATACGGTCCCGGGAGCGCGCCCGCGCGTGTGTGCTGAAATATTATTGTAAACATGGGTTGCCATGCACACGGGTGCATAACCTGGGTAATGGTGGAAGCTACCGTGCACCGTATACGCGTAGCCGTCGATACCTGCAGGTATATACATATAAGATTTGATGTGACATACCCACGACGGCGGTAGAGGCGAGCGCGCGCATTTAACGACATGGTAGTAGCGACTCATCGAAGTGTCGTAAAAATCGTAGTAGTTGTGCACCTAGAGCCGTAAATTACCATCCTCCCGCTGTTTGTTTTGTGCTATGAATATTATTTGAAGAGGATTATTTTGCGTTTAAGAGGACGAGGTTATTTCAGATAGAAAATGTTTTACATCTGGATTCTCTTTGATGATGTAATTTTTAATTTTCTTTCGAATTTTATGTTAATAGTTAACGCCGAATGATGGGAACAACTAAACGATCGTGTTCGCATTGGTTACGAACGTCTGTCGCCACTTTTCTCCTAGTACAATAAATAAAAATACAGTGTCCTGTACCGGGCCGTGCGGCAGAACTGCCATGCTGGCGATAGGAAGCAGCGACAGCGCGTAAACGGTACGCATTGGTGTTTTCCCGACTACTGGTAACCAACTGGTTAGGTCGGGGTGAGAAATGTTGAGAAACCCGTGAGCCGTGCTCACCGGAAAAGTCGCACGCGAACGCGGCACGTCGCGTTTTAAACGTACCACCGTTACGTTATCACTGGTCGCGGACGTCGCGCGGGACATGACCGTGCGCGCGGCCGTGGCCGACGACGCCGGTGCACGCGCGAGCGCGCGCAAGTCGTACGCGAACACAATACACACGCATACCCGTTGTATGCGTAGCGAGTACGCGCTCAGCTGCGGCCGCGTACGAGATACTCGCCGTTCACTCCTCTCGTCACGCGCCACACACACGCCGTACGCGCACACGTACTCGCGCACGCCTGTGCAACGGTCGCGCGACTTTTCGCGCAACGCCGTCGGCTCGATATCGCAGTGCGCGCCGCATACGTCCGTCGCACGGGTAGTCGGTCGCACGGTACTCGCACGGTACTCTCACGGCGCTGCACCGTTGGCCCGACGACCGCGGATCTCGCGCGCGATCATCGCCACCGTGCGTTCCGACGGATCTTCGTCCGCCGTCGATCGATATCGTTTATATCGTCCAGACGCGTCACCCCGCCCTACCGCACCGTCGACCCGTACATGACCGACGACGACAACGACGACGACGACCACCACCACCACCACCACCAACACTACCATCACGCTGCAACCGATCGAAAAAAGGTCAATTGTGTTTCACGTCATACTTTACGCACGTAGGTACGAGAACAACTAAATCGTACATTTTAACCGCCACTGTGTCTATCGTTTTATCATTCATAATCCAACCCAGTCGACATGACGGAAAATCGAATTCCGAAACTTCCCTTCGCCATCGTATGCGAACTGCTACCTACTTAGCGCGCACTTACAACACTAACTTACCCCCGCTGTAGCGTGTACAATAGGTTTCGTACTGTTTACATGCTGTCCCACGCGTCGAGTGGGTACTGCAGCGCTATAAATTGCGTCAATCTGTCCAAGTACATACATATCGTAATATGGTACACTGGCTGTAAATAATCGTTTGTATATAAATAATATAATTTAAAAGGAAATCCGTTTAAAATCGATTTATTATCCAAATAATAAACTACTGTAGTAAATTTAACAATTGTTTTTGTATTTAATGTTTAACTGAAAAGATTTGTCGGTTCCACGATCTAATATGGACAGTTACATAAAAATTATTTTCAAAATGAATCCAAACATGTACTGCCTTACCTAACCGGCCATTCGCTCAATTAAATGTATTGAAAAACGTTGAGTACGATACAATTGTAGAACAATAAAACTTTATTTTGAGTCACTTAAAGTGCAACTTAATTTTACCGCTAACATCAGCCTCAACTCTATAACGAAACTTATTAGTAATAAGTTATTACTAATAACAGTAATGTTTTCCAAATTAAATTCAACTGTCAAAGCGGATTGAAATCTTTGTTTCTCGTCGCGTCCATGTCAGTTTATTTGTTTATTACCTAAGATCTCGCAAATTGTTCAATCGATCGTGATGTGGTTTGAATGCTAACGAGCAATGAAGTGTATCGGTCCAAACCAATATTTAGTTAATACATATCTAATACACATATACATGACCTTTTATAATTAGTTATAATTTAATATTTAACATTTGGGTCAGGTAATTATGGAAATATAGAAAAACGTTAGAAAACGATATATTAATAAATTATGTACGACTATGTGTTACTTTTAAATGTTAGTATAATTATCTGTACGATCATACATGAATATATAACATCAACATGCATTACTAATAATAATTAATAGATTCAATACAGTTATTAAAAGTGAGTATTGAGAAAGTATATTGTTGTTTTAAATTTTAACATAACAGTAATAATATCAAAAACGTGTATAAAATTAATATAATTTAAATGCCCAATTTATTGTTAAAAAGGTGAACTTCTTCATCCTTTTTCATTGTTATACTTCATTTTGCTTCTGTATATAAACTTTAAAATTTTAATAGTTTTAATTCGTTTTCCTTAAATAATAAAAAGGTATAATACAAGATATGATTGCTATATGTGCTAGTTTTTGCGAAATAAAACATATTAATAAAATTAACACTTGAATTCTAAAAATAATTTAAATTAGGTAGTTGCACATGGTCATTCAATAAACTTATAATAATTAGACTTATTTAATATTTAATTTTATTATGTACAAAATGTTTTCGGTAAATGTTAGTGTAATTACACACATAAAGTTGTGCGAATATTATACATTTTAAACTTAAAAAAAATCTGTAGTTACATTTTTAATAAAGGTTTATTTATTTATAGTAAAAAGTATTCTAAGTATATAAGTTGAAAAAATAAATATTAATTGAACAAATATAATAAAAAATTAATTATATTTTTATCCGGGAAATGTGAAATTTGAATTATTGACATGAATGTATTTTAGCCAAAAACTTCTAGCACCATAACATTCTAACACTTCATGCAATTTTAAAAGCTGTTGATATTATTACAAATTAACAAAAGTCAATAAAATTGTACCCTAAAATAAACTTTCAAAACGCTTGAATAATTTACTTAATATATATGATATAAATACTCTATTAATATAATCTAATTGAAAATTCACAAACAATTATTCACAAAACTGTTATACATAAAACCAGAAAAATAAGGTAGTTAACAAAGGTTATTTTCAACAAATTATACAAAAATACTTACTCATATTATAAATATTATAATTTTTAAATATACAAAGAATAATATATAATTAATTGTTTTCATAATATTCACTATTTTTAAAAATATGTGTTATGGTTGTATAAAATAATGTAGTTTATACCGAAAATATTGAAAAATGAGGTACATTTACTTAAAAATTTATTTAGGTTATTATTTTAATCTGCTAAATATGATTTAAGAGAAGAGTTAATGTTTAATGAATTATATTTTTATACACCACTCCTTCGTATTCTCTATGATTTTATACCTCTATTTGCTTCTATGACTAATGATTTTATTATAGACTACATAGTTGTGTACTGTATTACACTATATTACACTGAATATAATAAAATACATTATAATACGTTATACTATAATGTATTTTATCACCTAATAAAAAATTAAAGTTTCAAAAACATTACGCGATTCAAATAATCATTAAATACATACAAAATGTATTGTAGTATAATTATATTTTATATACTTTCGGAATAATAAGTGAAAAAAATCAGTAATGTTTGTTGTTATTGGTTTCAAGGTGTTTTAATTGATTTTGATGGGCTTATTATTTATTTCCATTTGAAAACAATGATTGAACATTTATTTTCAAAAACTATTTTAAACTAAGGTCGTTAATAGATACTCATAATATTGGTATTATGTATATAATTGAAAAAAAAAACTGAAAAAAACCAACAAAAAAAGTACCTTCTAGAACTTATTTCTCATCTTAAAAGTAAGAATATAAAGCTATTGGTGCACATTAACTGATCAGAAGTTTAATTATAGGAGAAAAAAGAATAGGAAACATAGGTAATTTTAAAACTAATTTCTCCTCTTCAGTTTACTAAGAATTTAAAATAATTACGATACAATATTAATACAATCCAAATTCTAAAGTACAATAACGCAAAAATGTATTGATTTTAAATTACGCAACGACATCAAAATCATTTGTAATGAGTTTAGTAAAATTGCATACATAAGAGAAAAGCATCCATCAATACCTCTCAAAAACATTTGTTACACAGACGCACACTGAAGGTGAACTCTATCATCTTGAACATCTAGAACTATTATAATTTATAAACTTCTTTAGTTTTAAAAACAAATAATTCCTTGACAGTTTCCCAATAGTTTCATTATAGTTTTAAATGTTTTGATTCAAACATAATACTAAATTGATCAAATCTATAACACGAATTCACAATGATTGATTAGTAAACATACAAGTAGTTCTAAATTATTTTCAAGCAAAAATGAATGTAAAATTTAGATAATATAATATATAATAATAATATTTAAAATAAGCTTAAAAAGTTTACGACTGAAAAAAAAACTGTTATTATGACCGTGTTTTAAATGCATCATTATTATTATTAATTGTTATATTATACTCAAATTGAAATGTATACTCCATATTCAAATTAGAAACATTATATACATTAGATATACATACAATTATTTATAATAATATCTGAACGTCCAATACTAAGTTTCAGTAATGTAATATAATATCAATCGAACCACCTATTATTTATTCATGTAAATCCCACGTCATACCATTATTATTACCTGCTATACATATAAAAATAATTAATCAGAAATGAGTCAATAATCTGACTTGTACAAGAATTATTATTAGAATATAATTTATTTGTATATATTATGTATTGTTTACTGTTATTATTACTTGTACATTATAGCATAAAGTATAATCTAATCATTGTACAAATAGGGGCGTTTTCGCGGGGGTTAGGTGATAAATCACTCCTGTGATTTTTTTATCGCATTAATAATATGTACAAAGTGAATGCATTAAATTGTCAAATAGTTTATAAAATTGATAATATTGATAATACAAACTGTTTAATATGTCATATCAAATATCTATAAATCATAAATTACGCAAATTCCTTACGTTCGATCTCGTGATTATAAAAATTACATTAATTACATTAAAACTATTTATTAAACTTAGAAATAAATAGCTTTATAAAAATTAATATATGAGTTGTTTTATACGTATTTTATAATGATCTTCATTAGTATACTAATGGCGTTATAGACAATGTATTTTTAGATTAATTTTAATAACTATTTATTTTTTTTTATTTTTTTTTAATTTGCCTTTGATAACTATTATTTAAAAGTATTGTTGCACATCGTTTTGTTCTATTTTTTATTGATTTTATTCTTATTATTATGATATATGTAATTTAAAATATCTTGGTATTTAATATTTAATCACTTTATCTTATATATATATATATTTTTTTAGTATATCAAGTATAGAAAACAAAAAAAAAAAAAATTAAGAACTGAATATACAGCCAATGTAAACAATTAGTATGTGCGCTTTCCTATCACCCTTTTCTGTGAATATAGTATAGATTAAAGTCTGTAATTGATAATATACAATTCATGATGCTCAAATGTGTAATAGCTGTTAAAACATAAACCAATAAACAATGACAATAGAGTCCTTATTTACGAATCCAAGACCATTTGATAATATAAAATGAAATACCAAATAAAATTAAGAAAAAAACTATTACACTATTTTATATTTAATGTTTTATGTTCAAACATTTTACACAATGTTTGTTTATACCAATAAACCATAATATACTTCACAAAACCTGATAATCACATGTCAATCGTAAGCTACAACTTTTTTTTTTATTATTGTTACTTGAGTAACCAGCAGAAAATAAATTAAAGGTATACGTGTGACGTACATACCAGCACACCACAAACTTGTTGAATGTGCATAGTGTTAGACCTATACATAGAAGGACAAATTTTCGTAAATAACAAATTAACATAAATCTTACCGATAGTTTTTGTTATATATAAAGTGTTCATTCGCAACGCACGAATTGTCCAAAAAGAATATATTGAAATTAACGAAGCGGAGTGCTTTAATTTATACTTTTTCACGTTCGAAATATTGTGTAAAAACAAACAATAAAAGGTACATCGTACCTACTTATAATTTATATTTTA